TGGAAGTCTTTAGGGTTAACCCGAGTAAGCGATTAAGGACCCCCCCCCCCCCTCTCCGGTGAAAGGATAACGCACCCGGCACCCGGAAGCGTTATCCTGGCACCAGGAGGGGGTTCCTTAGCTTTTCTCAGCTTTTCTCAGCTTTTTCTTAGCTTTTCTAAGCTTTTCCTTAGCTTTTCTCAGCTTTTCCTTATTCGTATTCGTATTCTTATTATCATTACAATTCTAATTGGGATGCCACCCGAGGCGGGGCGCTGGAATTATTTATTTTCCTTCCATTTGCGCGGTGCTAATAATATCGCTCGGCGAACCCCCCCCAAATAATTATTTAATTACGGCGCGGTGCTAATGATAACGCCGGGGGGTTCCTTAATTGCTTCTCCGGGTTATCGTGTAGTACAAATGGGTTCTCTTGGAAGCCTCGGAAGCTCTCGTGGGGCCATCTTGAAGAACATCGATCAAAGAAGGGGGGGGCCTCAATTATGGCGGCCCCTGTAGCCCAAAGCATGGCCTCTTGGGCGTCTCTGAGGACGCTCTTGGGGCGCTCTTCCACGCCCTTGGGATCGTCTTGGGGCCCTCTTGGGCGCCTCTTGGGGCTCCTTGGGCCATCTTTGAATCATCTTGAGGCCTCATAAGCCCGTCGGAAGCGAAAAGTCTAGAATACCGACTTCACTGATGTTCCCCAGGTTTTGTAAGGATTTGGGGCTCGTTGGGGCGGCTTTGAGAGACTCCATGAACACTTGGGGCGGTCTTGGGGCATCTTGGGGCGGTCTTGGGGCATCGTGGAGGCATCTTGGAAGACATCGTGACCATCCTGGACCATATTGTTTAACCACTCCCAGCCCCCCTGGCTCCCAAGACTTGGCCTCTTTGGGCCCTCTTGGGGCTTTTTTGGTGCGCTCTTGGGATCTCTTGGGGCCGTCTTGGAGCCTTCATGGGCCGAAGGCCACTGTTGAGCCTCTTGAGGCCCCAGAAGCCCATCGGATGTAACAAGGCACGAAAGCCAGCATCGTTTATTTCCTTGCGCTTTGATCCTGCCTTGGCCTCTTGAGGATGCCCTCGGGAGGCCCCGTGGCCACGTGGAGCAGTCTTGGGGCGATCTCGGGGTCTCTTCCAAGCATCTTGGAGGCCATCTAGAAGCATCTTGGGATATCGCAGGCCATCTTAGAGGTCATCTTGGGCTCTCTCGGCCATCTTGAAGCCATCTTGGGCGCTCTGACTGGTCGCGGGGTGCCCCGTCCATGCCGAGGGGGGAGGGGGGAGTGGGGAGAGGGGAGGGGCCAAGTTCCCAGCGGGAACGCCGCAAGCTGCATCGCTTGACCTCACCCGCCCTCCCACAGTACATACGTAGCACCCGAATCTCAACATGGGCAGGGGCCGTCATGAACGACCATCAGAAACCAATGCAGACGCCAGCCAGGTGCGCGACGCCCGCGAGGTGAGCCATGCGTGCCAGGTGCACGGACCGTGTGGACCACGTGCGCCAGGTGGCCGACGCGCCCAAGCGTGCCAGGCGCGCTTGATGCGCCAGATGCGCAACGTGCTCCATATGCGCCAAGTACGCCACGTGTTCCAACCGCGCCGCGCGCAGAGCGCGCGATGTGCGCCAGCGCACGTCGCAGCACACGTGAGGCAACATGCGACCCGCCCAGATGTTTTACTGCAGCTTGTGCTCTGTGCTGTTTTTGTTGGGGCGTGAGGGTCATGGGGGGGGGGACATCGTTCCTGGTCGGCGCCGTCGTGTGGGGGAGGGGGCGATCAGGGGCAATGGTAGCAGCGGATGCCCTCAGGGGGGGGTGACGCAACGACCCCCCCGTCGCCAATTGATCCCCGACGCGGACCGGATGGCCCATCCCGCCCAGGAGCGTGTTTTTTTCTCGGAAAGGGCGTAGGCCCAGGATTCTCTTTTAGAGGTTTACCCCCGGACCTGATTTGAGGTGGGCCAGCGGAATTATTCCTTGATTAATATCGAAGTCGAGGTGGGCCGGCGGAATTAATTGGGAGGATGTCTCGAGCGAAACGCTTGTTTTTCAGAATTTGTTGAGGATGTCTCGAGCGAAACGCTGGTTTTGCAGAGTTGGGGATGTCTCGAGCGAAACGCTTGTTTTCAGAATTTGTTGAGGATTTCTGGAGCGAAACGCTGGTTTTGCAGAGCCGACCGCGACGCGGTAAAGCGCCCCGCGCGCAGGAATTCCGAGGATGTCCCGACTAATGAATTTTGGCAGGATGTATCGAGCGAAATGTTTGTTTTTACATAATTGGTTGAGGATATTTCGAGCGAAACGCTGGTTTTGCAACATTTTCATAATTTATCGAGGATGTCTCGAGCGAAACACTGGTTTTGCAAAATTGGGGATGTCTCGAGCGGGGGCCTCGTGGGGGGCCAGAATTCAGAGGATGTCTCAGGCAACATGCTAGTTTTCACGTTCCGCTCGCAGGAATTCCGAGGATGTCTCGCGCGTGCCGCGTCCCGCGCGCAGGAATTTCGAGGATGTCTCGACTAATTCATTTGTTTTGCCAGGATTTCTTTATATTTTGACAGGATGTCTCGAGCGAAACGCTTGTCCCCAGCACGTTCCGTAGCGCGTCCCCTTGGCACGTCCCGCGGTGCGTCCCCGTGGCACGTCCCTTGGCACGTCGCTTGGCGCGTCCCTGTTCCGCGGCGCGTCCTCCTGGCATGTCCCCCTGTCAATGAGCTCTGGGACAGCTACTCTGTGTTCAGGCAGCTCGAGCTTAAGATCGAGATCAGTTCGGTCAGGACTCGGATGCAAAGGAGGACTCGATCCACGAGGCTAGAGAGCACAATCGCGGCATGCCAACATCGCAATTCAGCACTGTTCAGCACAGCACATATTTCGGCACGGTACATCAAGATCGATACACTCAGCATTGCAACTTGGCACGTTCCTTGACACGTTTCGTGGCGCGTCCCTTGGCGAGTCTCCCTGGCACGTCGCGTGGCGCGTCCCCTGGCACATCCCGTGGCACATCTATTGGCACGTTCCGTAGCGCGTCCCCTTGGCACGTCCCGCGGTGCGACCCCATGGCATGTCCCCTGGCACGTCGCCTGGCGCATCCCTTGGGACGTTTCGCGGCGCGTCCTCCTGACATGCTCCCCTGTCCATCAGCTCTGGGGCAGCTACTATGTGTTCAGGCAGCTCGAGCTTAAGATCCAGATCAGTTCGGTCAGGACTCGGATGCAAAGGAGGACTCGAGACATGACGCTATAGAGCACATTCGCGGCATGCCAACATCGCAATTCAGCACTGTTCAGCACAGCACAGCCCTCGGCAGGGTACATCAAGATGGATACACTCGGCATTGCACTTGCCCGCCACCCAATCAGGTGCCTTTGAAAACGCTGCCACGCGTTGCAGTTCTGTAGTCCTTTCCGGGTTCGTGGGCCGATCGTGTTTGTTGTTCGGGGGCCGATCGCCGACCCATTGGCGATGCATCGCGGAGTCCACGTCGATGCTCCCTCTTCCGAGCTGAGCTGGCCCCCCCTACTTTTGCGCGTCAGGTTCAGGAGGGGAAACAACACCGACACAATCGATCGTCGATTCCAAAGAAAATATGGGAAACTATGGTAATTGGGCGGGAGGACAAAAACTCAGAAGATATGGGGAAATATGGGGAATCTTTTTCTTTGTGTGTTTATTTGTGTGTCCCAGGGCCCCTTCACAGGTTTTCATCGTTCGTGAGCAGAGATGGGCCTCTCTCTGAAATGGAAGAGGGGGATGGAGGAGGAAGTGCCTCAGACCACCTCAGCCTGAAAGTGCTGGTGGGGTTGGAAGAGGAAGTGCCTCAGACCACCTCAGCCCCGAAGTGCTGGTGGGATCAGGGGCCGCCTTCCTTCCCAAGCAATTGACAGCAACGCAAGACAGTGCAACGCACAGCATTTGAAAGCCAAGCTGAGTGTTGCAGTGCTGCACGCTGCGACGCAATGCAGTGCACCGTACGTGAGTCCAGACAAAGGCGAACCACTGCAAAGCAAGCGCTGCAGCGAGAAGCAAGCATATGCAAAACAATGCCAGTCAAAGCATCGGAAATCAACACGTCACATCCGACACAACTGAAAGCAATGCGCATCACAGCAAGGTGAGCAACTGACGTACACGGCGATTCGATTCAAAGCAAAGCAGCGTAAATCATATGCTACCAGGGCGCGCAATGCAAGCAACGTAACCACAGCATAGGAGTGCAAAGCAATGCACAGAACAGCAAATTAATGATCAGTTGTGCAAGCAATGCGAGCCAACACGCGCAAAGTAACACCAGACAATATAAAGCACACCATGTAGTACAAAGTTTTGCAAAGGAATGCAATGCAATGCAATGCAATGCAATGCAATGCAATGCAATGCAATGCAATGCAATGCAATGCAATGCAATACAATGCAATGCAATGCAATGCAATGCAATGCAATGGACGGCAGTGTGACCAACAATGAGCCAAGCCGAGCGAAAGGAGCCAATCCATACAATACAAACCATTACCGAGCGAGACAGAGGAACGCAAAGCAACACAACGCGGTGTGCAGCCATGCAAAGCAACGCGATAGCAAAGGAACTCCGATGACCCTCCGAGGACCCCACGAAACCTTGAGGAGTTTCCGCTGACCCGGCGGCGACAGACCCTGTCGCCGCCGGCCCTCTCTTGCACAGAATGAGCAGGATTCCCCTCCAGGCGAGGTCCACTCAGAGAATGCGGATTTCAACGGTTTGGGGCATCGTGGACCTTCTCTCAGGCGCTCTGGGGTCCTGTTAAGGCTCATCTCGGGGCCTCAAGGGTCGCCTTCAGGACCTATTGGGCATTTTGGATGCCTTGTTGGGACCGTCTTGGAAGCCATCGTGGGCATCTTGGAGGCTATGGGAACCGCCAGGGGGGGGCCTCGGAAGGGGCTGGGGGGAATGCTGGGGGACGTGAATAGTGGAGTTGGGGGCCTGTATTCTACCCTACCATCTGGTTTTTGGCACTGTCGCCAGCTGTCTTTGTGCACAGCCATTCTGGCTCGAGCTTGTGTTGGGCCTGCTCTGCCTTCGCACATCTCCTGCCCCACATTTGGCCAGTGTCTGCAACAAGTTTTGGGACCATGCCGGAGGTCATGTCAATCGTGAAAACTCCCAAGGAGGCGTTCCAGGGTATGGTGGACAAGGGCCTGGGGATGGGAGGCGATTCGTCCATCAAGATCTTCCACCAGTCCTTCTACGCGGGTTGCTACATTGGCTTCGGCGGCATGCTGTCGATGGTAGTGGCTGGCGGGCTAGCAAGCGCAGCCGAGGATAACCCGACCATTCAGACATTTGTATTCGCTGCGCTCTTCCCTGTGAACTTGCTGCTCATCCTCCTCACAGGTGGGGTGCTGATCACCGGTACAGCGGCGACCGTCCCTGCCGCAGTGTTCGAAGGCAAGCTGGACCCCAAGCAGATCTTGAGGACGTTTGCGCTGGCTTGGTTGGGCAATCTTATTGGCGCCGTGCTCTTCGCTTGCTTTGTCACGGCCTGCAACTTGAACGTAGGGTTGACGGCCGAACTTGCACGCAAAGTGGCGGAGAAGAAGATCAAAGAAAATTTCGGGGTCACCTTCCTCAAGGGAATCGGCTGCAACTGGCTGGTGTGCATGGCTGTGTTTCTGCAGGGCCAGGCACAGGACATGGTTGGCAAGATGGTGGGCATCTGGTTCCCCATTTCTTGCTTCGTGGCGATCGGTTTCGAGCATATTCCAGCGAACATGTTCATGATTCCCATGGGGATGATGGCAGGCGCCGACGTGTCCGTGATAGACTGCCTCTGGAGGAACTTCATCCCGGTGACCCTCGGGAACATCTTCGCGGGCTCCTTCTTCGTGGGCGCTGGCTATTCGTTTGCCTTCGGCAAGCTGGGCAGCTCGCCGATGTTCAACATGCCCACGAAGGAGCAGCAGGCCAGGGAGGTTCAGCTGGAGGCGCCAGCCCCGTGAGTGCCCAGATCGTGCGTAGTATTTTTGCTTTCACAGTTTATAATTTTACAGAGTGTTTTAAGCTAAGCGGCTGAATCCCAAACAATTTTTCAGTGGTAGCCTTGGCTGCCAGCAGTCCACTGACTGTTTTCGGATTCGGCATAGCATGCCCGACGGCGAATCCTTCGATGTGATCGCGGAATTCAGATTTGCCCCTTATCCCTCCTAGGTTAACGAGGGTCTGACCGAAAGTGCTCTTTCGCTGATTTGTATCGAGAACCACGGGTTTGGCGATGGCGGCCTCATCACGTCGTCATTCATGTATGGTTTTCTCTTGGTGTCGTTGCTGCTGAGTCCGAGTGTTATCGGTGGGTGAGTCGATCGAAGCTTCGACGCTGCAATCACGCGACAATTGCGACAGGCGTTGCCAGAGAGGGGTGCTTCGTGGAGGCAAAGGTTATGGCGAGTTTTCATGGTGCTGCGACCGAGCGCGTGGAAACCTATTCGACACGTGCACATCATGCATATCTGGGGTCTCTTGCCTGGGTGGGGCGGGGGCCGGAGCGCTCTTGGGCAGACCCCGGGCCCTCTGCTGCATCCCATTGCCCCGCCTCTCTGCTGGGCCAGGCCTGCCAAGCATCGGGCTCGCCGCTCGCACCGCATCGCCACCGCATCGGCGCCGCACTGCGATCCGGGGTCTGCTTTTCTGCTTTTCCCATGCCGGCATTCGGGGGCCCCCAAACGGGGCGGTGATCGCACCGTGTGGTGAGTCGGTGGGGATTCGGGGCCACGGCACGGTTTTGGGACTTGAGTCGTTCTCCGAGGATGTCTTGGGCGACTGGAGACTCCAGGGTCCCAAAACCTTGTGGTGACGGACCGTGCGGTGAGGTCTCTGCGGATTTCGAGGTCACCGCCGGGCCTGTCACCACGCGGTTTTTGGGACCCCCAAAGCATCGCCGAGGCATCGCTCGTGCGCCAGCAGATCCGTGCCCAGATTTGGGCGGACAGCGGCCGTTGGCCTGGCCGGTGTGGCCCCAGGGACCCTCCGGGGGCGCGAAGACAGGGGTTCTGGGCTTCAGTCGGGCCTGTCCCGCTACAGGAGGGATATTCCCCAAAAATAGTCAGGGGACAAAACTTTGACAATGCTTGATTATTTGGGGTATTTTTGAAGAATGAATTTTTCATCCAAAATGCCCCTGTAGGAGGACATGCCAGACCTAGTTCTAGGCTTCCTGGATGGGGTCCGAGCAGATGGGGTCGGAGGATCGCGCCGCATCGCCGATGCATCGCCGACGCGGCTCGATGTGGAGCCAGGTGTTCTCCTTGCCGACGGGGCCGATGCATCGCCGACGTCGCCGATGCATCGGCGGCGATGTATCGCCGATGCATCGGCGATGCGGCGCGATCATCCGACCTCGTCTGCTCGGACACAATCTGGGAGGCATTCTTTCTGTTCTTCGGGCGTCAAAAGGCCTTTGCCAGAGAGTGGCCTGTCTCCCGGACGGCGGCGCGAGGGCGCAAGGATGACGCGGCGTCGCCCATCGTGTGGCGCGGCGCGCGAGGCGTGGTGGCCAGGTGGCCACATCAGGGGTAACGTTAGGGGGCGATTGGCTTGTGGAAGTCGATTCATGGAGAGGAAGCATGCTGCCAAATACTTTCCAGGTGTCTCACAAGTGTTTCAAACATGTCTTGAGCTTGTAAAAACCGTGCCTGGAAACATTTTTAGAACATGAATTCCACATTTTGAAAAGCACACCTGCAATTCAATGACAGGGTTGTTAGATCGGAGGGCACCAACTGTACACCAGCACCGATCCTGGCCCAGGATCGGTGTTGGTTTATAGTTGGTGCCTTCCTGTTAGAGTGTCCATTGTCATGGCATCCACAGTGATAGGCTCAGGGTGGGATGCCTCGACCCCCGTCTCCCACTCGTCGCCGGCGGGGGCCCGGCAGCCCACCCCGCCTGGGGGAGCGTGCGTCCTCGCCGCCGCGGGCATGTCCCGGAGCTGTCGCTGCTGTGCCGCCGATTCCAGGTCGACTCCTCCTCCTCCTCCTCCTCCTCCTCCTCCTCCTCCTCCTCCTCCTCCTCCTCCTCCTCCTCCTCCTCCTCCTCCTCCCCCCCCCCAGGGCACCCCGTCTCAGCCACGCGCCGGGGAGGGGGGGGGTAGGGGGAGAGGGGGGGAAGACTTCGCAGAGGCACCCCTGCTTTCCCAGCAGGCGCGGGCGCTCTGTCCGCAGAGGTACGGGCCGGCGCCCTCTTAAGGAGCAGCGTCCTTCTGAGGAGAAGCCTTCCCTCTCCTTCCCCTACCCCCCTGGTGCGCGCCGCCAGCCATCGCTGCCCTCTGTAATTGGTCGGGAGGGAAAAACACACAAGACACAGTGAATCAGTGAATCGTCGACTCCCAGGGAAAGATGTGCACACATGGAACGATGTCAGGAGGGGACAAACACACAGACACAATGAATCGTCGATTCCTCAGAAAATAGGGGAAAATATATGGGAAGCGTGGGGGAAGACAGAAACCCAGGAAATATGGAGAAATCTGGGGAACATTTTGATTTCTGTGTATTTACCTGTGTGCCCTGGGGCCCCTTCACAATGGGGGGGGGGGAGGCGACAGCCCAGAGCATGGCGTGGGAACGCGGGAGGCAGCCCGTGGCCTGTGCCTGCTCCTCTGTGTGCCCCCGGGCCCCTCGGTCCGTGGCCCGACCCCCCCCCCTGGGGAAACCCCTCCTCCTCCTCCTCCTCCTCCTCCTCCTCCTCCTCCTCCTCCTCCTCCTCCTCCTCCTCCTCTCCCTCCTCTCCTCCTCCTCCTTCTCCTCCTCCTCCTCCTCCTTCTCCTCCTCCTCCTCCTCCTCGCCTCCTCTCTCCTCCTCCTCCTCCTCCTCCTCCTCCTCCTCCTCCTCGTCCTCCTCCTCCTCCTCCTCCTCGTCCTCCCCCCCTGGGGAACCCCCTCCTCCTGCTCCTCCTGCTGCTGCTCCTCCTCCTCCTCCTCGTCCTGCTCCTCCTGCTCCTCCTCCTCCTCTTCACCCCTTTGCCTTCCTCGGAGGTTCTCGATACAAGCGGGGTTCCCGCAGAGGCCCGCTCGGTGCCTCCTCTGCCCGGGTCGGGGGCAACGATAGGGAGGGATGCGCATAGGGGGGGATGCGTTGGCCCCCCATCCCCCATTGATCGCCGATAGGGGCCCGATGGCCCCGGACCCTCCATCGGGGGCCTATCGCCGGTCCATCGGCGATGTATCGCCGATTCCAGGTCGATGCATCCCCCCCCCTGTGCCTATATCCCCCCCTATACTTGGTATTCCTCGGACGTGTGCACTCTTTCTCGGCGGGGATTAATCCGGAGCATCCTGGACCATCCTGCGAAACAACCCACGCACGAAGCCGACAAACACACAGGGAAGGGACGTCCGAGGCGCGCGGCGGCGGGCCTCCTGAGGCGCGGCGGGCGCCCGCCCCGGCGCTCGACTCTCCTCTGTGGGCGTGCCCCCGAGGGCCTCGCGGGCCCCCGCCGCCGCCGCCGCCGCCGCTGGTGTGCGCCCATCGAGGGAGCGCAGGCGCGGCCTGAGTTTCACTCGGGCATGTCCTTCTACAGGAGGAATATTCGATCGGGGGGGACAGACCTCCTACCCTGACACGTCGATTGAGGAATCGGCCGTTTTCGGTTCGCGAGGGGGCGTCGCGGCCGTCATTTTTGCGGGTCCAGGTCCGTCGGTTTCGGTCCCAGGCCGTTTTCATTAAGGGAAGGTTTACTAAAGGGAGGTTTGTCCACCGCCGATTCAAAAATAGTCAAAAACAGTTTGGGGACGATTTGTGAGTTTTTTTTCCGGATTTTGTCTTAGTGTTATAATGTTTCGTCCGAAATCCGCCTGTAGGGGGACATGCCCGACCTAAGAATGAGTCTAAGAATCAGGCGATCGCAGGCATGGATCAAGGGGGCGTGGATTCGCGACGGGTCCCGTTTCCACGAAGAAATAGCGGATTCCCGCCGCCGAGCAAGGCGGCAACGGCCGCATTTTGGGGAGGCCACTTCCCCCGATCCATGGATTCGGCGACCGCGCGCCAAATCCATGGATCGCGCCCCCGAGGATCGAGTCGAAGAAGAAAGACGCCATAAGCATAAACTGTGGCACTCCGCGCAGATTTCTTGGATCCGCGCCCTGCCCCCCGGCGGCGCCTCCGGCGCCGCCCCTGGCGCGCTCCGCGCGCCGGGGAGGGGGGTCCAGCGCAGATCCAAGAAATCCGCGCGGACCTCCACAAGTGTATGTTTATGCGCCTTTTCTTCCTCTATGAGGGTGGGTGGATCACTCACGGGCTCCGCTTCTTCACAGAATCGGCGCGGTTCCAGGTCGATGCTTCTCCCCCTGGGCCGCCCCCCCCCCCCCCCCCCCCTGAGCCGCTGCCGCCGCCATTTGCGCGTCTGTCGAGGAATCGCAGACATGAGTTACAGCCAAAACGCTGAAATGAGTAACGGTTTGGGTTCGGAAAGGGCTCGATGTTTCTGAGGTCCTTCTTTGGCGATGGAAATCCAAGAGTCATCAACGATGTTGGAATTCACCCTCCCTCCAAGCTCCCTCTTCACAGGCCCCTACAACGGCTCATTTCCATTGAGGGAACTGCCTCCTTGGAAGGCAACAGTTTGAAGATCCTGAAGTGTGCCAAAATATTGTTATCGGGATTTCAACGCCGCGTATCAAACTGACTGCTGCGTCTTGGCGATCCAGAATCGTGCCAGAACGCCATTTTTGGGACTTCAACATAGCGAATCAACATAACTGTTGCGCCCGCATAATCCTGAATCTACCCAAAACACCATGCCTGATGCGTTGATCATGGGAATCCGTGTAACTCTTGCAGTTTTGAAAACGGATGTGCGCGGCACTGAGGCGAGAGCCACATTTTGAAAACGACCCGCCCTCAATCCGTGAAACTTTTACAATTGTTTAAAGCGGCTGTGTGCGGCGCTACGGCGACAGCCACATTTTGAAAACGACCCGCCCTCAATTTGTGAAACTCCTTGCAAATTTGTAAAACGGATGTGCGCGGCGCTAAGGGCGACAGTTTGAAAACGACACGCTTTCAATCTGTGAAAGCCCTGCAAATCTTTAGCACGAATGTGCGCGGCGTCAAGGCGAGAGCCACATTTTGAAAACCACCTGCCCTCCATCTGTGAAACGGTCGGTATTTTTTTAAGCTTCAGAGTCATCAGTGGTGAGGAAGTCTCTGGCGAAACGCCGGGTCCGCCCTAAAAACTGGCCTCGGGGTGCGACAGGGAAAAGTTATCTATAAGGAAAAGGAATGGAGGAGGAGGAGGAGGAGGAGGAGGAAGGAGGAAGGAGGAGGAGGAGGAGGAGGCGTTTCGGCCGAGGCCACTGGGAGGGAGGGAGCGCACTCCCCGCCACGGCCGGGCAGCGCCCAGCACGGCGCCATACGCCCGCGGAGAAAAAGTACCCTGCCCACTACTTATTCGCTGTATACTCGCCGTGCCGCATTTACGGCACTCGGATCTCCAAGTACCCTCTGTATTTAGCCTTCCACACTGAGGTTCACGAGCTCCCCCAGGACATCGTTGCCCGCCTGTGCTTATTGTGCATCAGACCTTTAGGGGCCCGCGCCTACAACAACGACTGCTCTGAATAACCTGCCTGGCACAGGCGCGCCCAGAGACAGCGAGCGGCTGCGAGGACACTGCTACGAGCTGCTGCCGCAGCACGTCTACTTGACCAGCACCACTCCAATATGGCGCCCACGGACTCCAACAAGACGGGCTGTGCGCGATGATTCCATCCGTAGAGCGAGGCCGACGGACCACAATGACGACTGGCTACTGGAAATGCAACGGCTGCGGCAGCAACGCTCCCAGCAAGGTCTGGATCTGTTACTGCGGAAACCAGGACCTGGGGGCAGGGCGACTGCGACCAGAATGGCAACCAGCCGCGTACACGAAGGTCGTCGAGGAGCTTTCGTCGCATACGAGAGCAACCTCCTTGGAAGCTGGACAGGACCACCGAGAAGGTAGTCGAAGCGACATCCAGGCGGCATTCCAACACTTCTACAAATATGCTGATTCCAGAGACATACAAGTATTCAGAGCTACCTGTCCAGAAAGCTCCTTTATTCTAGTGCCAGACGAGCGCGAGAGCATGGGGCCGCACTGGCAGAACCTTATGCCATTACAGCGCAATTACTGGCTTACGCACTCCAGTTGCCGGATCATCGAGACCGAAGAATACGCGGACACGACGATCATCCATGTATACATCCCTAGTGTGGACAAGATGTTTACGCCGCAGTTGCTGACTTACCCGCCGCCCAACGCTGGCGACCTGAATAAGACTACGTCAATTCTCATGCACGGTCCTGTACTCCAGCATTGTACCCCATTGAGATGTTTACCAAGTCTGAGCTCCACGGCCCGTCCCACCAGAGCATCATCGTTAAGGACAACGAGAACCTCGTCTACAGCCCTACCAAGAACGAGGGAGCCCGCTACTTCGGCCACTTCATCAACCAGTACGGCGACTTCCAGGAGCACCCGACAGTATTCTGCTGCAGGCGACATCAACTACCCGCCACCGGTTAAGGTACACGAGGACTCGCCGCTCTTGGCTACTCAGGGCACGAACCGTCGGCGCACTGATTGATGTCCAGAAGAAGCTGCACATGCTTCTGCTGCAAAGCCATCATTATAGATTCCATATTCCTCGTTTACCTTCCGTACAAGACGTCCCACGAGGTCATCTGAGAATTGCCGCGTCTCAGTCCGGTGGGGGTGGCCTGCGGCGTAACCGGTTGCGCTCTTCCCCCTCGCGGCCCACGGCGACCCCCTTTTTTTTCTGGCGGGCGGGCGACCTCCCCCCCCTCTTCCTCCTCACCGCGGGGGTCAACGTTGCCCATCGGGGTGCGACGGGGGCGGGCGTGGTCTACGATGCCACTTGAGCCGTTGCCGCGTTCGCTGGCGGCCCCTGGCGCCGCGCGCGGTTGCGCGCGGCGCGGGCGCGGGCGCGCCTGTGAACGCTTGCGGCGGCGGCAGGAGGAGGAGGAGGAGGAGGAGGAGGAGGAGGAGGAGGAGGAGGAGGAGGAGGAGGAAGAGGAGGAAGAGGAGGAGGAGGAGGAGGAGGAGGAGGAGGAGGAGGAGGAGGAGGTGCGAGGGGCGGGGAGAAGAGGGAAAGGGGAGGCTTGGCAATGGGGGGTGCGTCCACCTTTCCGGGCCTCAAAGCTGACGCTCCGGGGATTGGCGCAGGCGGACGCAGCCATGCAGAAATTCACAGCCAGGCAATGAAAACAAGACGTGCCAGGAAAGCGAAATATACATGTGGGGGTCTTCCGCGTCGAGCAAGTTACCCCACGGCGATGGCGGGCGTGAGGGGGGGGGAGGGCGGGCGGCGGTCGCGTCGCGATTCGCGCCGGCGCTGTCTGGGAATTTCCTAAGACTGGCTAGCTCCCGCGCGGTGCAGGCCAGCTCGAATCATGACGTGACCAGTGACCTAACCGGGGGGGGGGCGGGGCTGGTCACCAGCGTTGCTGTCAGAGCGATGTATCAATTTGAGGTATGGTCGGAGAGGATGCCCTCATGTTCTTCGTGCTTGTTGGATGTTGTTGTGCATCCTGGGGCCCCCCCCTGGGATGTTCTTCGGTTTGGCCGGCGGAGGGTCTCTTTTGTTCATGGAGGACGTTTTTTGTGTCTTGCATCGCGAATGATATAAGCGCGGGCTCCTGTCGTTTCCACTAGTTTCCTTTTACGCAGCCGCCAGTCAGTATCGCTTAACCGATGCCTATCCCCATCCCCATAAAAATCTCGGGCCTCGCCGTCTCACCACTTCACTTGGGGATCTGCCCCTCGAAACCCGAAGAGAGCAGGCTATATCCCCATCGGGGGGTAAATCAGCCAGTGGGGCCCAACCCACGTTGGCGGGGATGGGTATCGGTCAAACGATTCTCAACCAGGACCCAGAACCAGTGTGCGCCCGCTGAGGGCCTTCGGGCATGGCCACAGCGCGTCGGGTCCGGCCTGGTTTGGTCTGGCTCGGGAGAGGGGGCCTGCGTCGCTCGAGCCGCGTGGGGGGGGGAGAGGAGGAGGGAGGGAGGAACAGGGAAGAGGGGGAGGAGGAGGAGGAGGAGGAGGAGGAGGAGGAGGAGGAGGAGGAGGAGGAGGAGGAGGAGGAGGAGGAGGAGGGAGGAGGAGGAGGAGGAGGAGGAGGAGGAGGAGGAGGAGGAAAAATGGAGGAGGAGGAGGAAAAGGAAAAGGATAGAGGATGGATGATGCAGGGATGAGGGGGATCGATGGGGCAGGGACAGGCGCGCGCACGGGCTACGATGCACGCTCCTTCTAGCGTCGCCTGGGAAGTTCGAGCTCACAGCACCCAGCTCTCGGAGGGCCCTGAGATCTGACGTCACGAGAAAAACACAAATCGTGACAATTGGAGACCAGAGCCCCGCACCCTATCTCTCTGCAGCACTTTCCGAGCCAGAACGATCTGTGATGGCCCCGGCGCCCGAAGCTGGGCGAAAACGCTCGCTGTGAGTACGTTGCCGCGCCCGTGCCCGATGTTTCGAGTTTCTCAATGCGCAGCCCCCGGAGGTCACGACCCTTCCCCCCAGGGCAAGCTCTTCATCCCGAGTCGTTTTTGTTCCCGGTTCTGGTGCCTCGCGAGGGCCCCCGGGCGCTGAAAACAAGGACAAGTTCCCGTCCAGAGTCTCTCGAGACGTCGGAGGTTTGGGTATCTCAGGGCCAGCGCCGCTGCGTCGTTCCCGGACCGGCCCTCGGCCTCGCCGTCGCGGCGGCGGCGGCCCGCCCCCGCCGCGAGCGCGGTGGCTCGCGCGCGGCGGCGGCGGCGCGCGCGGCTGCGCGGCGCGTTCTCCCAGCAACTGTACGAAGACTCCACGAAGAGCACCCCGATCGTGTTCGTGCTCTCCCCGGGGGCGGACCCCACGAGCATGCCCTGCCCTCGGGCCGGCCCGGACCCGCAGCCGCGGCGGCGGCGAGGAGGAGCGACCATCGACGACGACACGACAGCAGCCGACGACGACGACGACGGCGACCGCCGACGATCGACGACAACGACAGTGACAGGCGGCGGCGGCGGCGGCGACACGACAGCGACGGCGTCGGCGGCGTCGGCGGTGATCGGCGACGACGATTGACGGCGACGGCGACCGACGACGACTGACAGCCGACGGCGACGGCGGTGTGGGGTGCCCAGCTGTTCGGTGCTGTGCTGTCATGGGGGCGCTGCCGTGCGAGCCGCTCCCCCAAGGGCATATAGGTTTTAGTCGGGCGTGTCCCTCTACAGGAGGAATATACAGAAAAAGTCAAACAATTGTCTGGGGACGATTTTTCTACAATTTTGGACCATTTCGTTTTTTTTGGGGGGGATTATTTGCTTAGAACATGTTTCGTCCACAGTCCGCCTACAGGAGGACATGCCCGACCTGAGCATAGGTTCAGGGGCAACGTTAGGGGGATAGGCTCAGGGGGATACATCGACCCCCAGTCGCACATTTCTTGCCGATAGGGGCCCGATCGCCCACCCCGCTCAGGGCAGTGCGGATTTGCAATCGGGGGCCCGTCGCCGATCTATCGGCGATGTATCGCCGATTCCAGGTCGATGTTTCCCTCCCTGAGCGGGTCATCCCCTAACGTTGCCCCTTAGGTAACAGGTGGAACTCTACATCGGGCACGATCCGAGTGAGGGGTGTGCCGAAACGGGAAGCTCCCGATGGTGCAACGGAGAGAAGCGAGGACTAAACGCACAGGAGGGTTGGGAACACCCCCCTCGCTCCTCTTTTTCTCCCTCCTCTCCTCTCTCCCTGTCTATCGCCGTCTTTCTCGTCTTCCCCCTCCTCCCTGCCCCCCCCCCGCGCGCGTTTGCTCTCGTGCGGGAGGAGGGAGGAGGAGATATGAACCTCCATCTCTCCTGTCTCCTCCTCCCACTTGCGCTGAGTTTCTCGGGGGGGCGACACCCCCGCCGACAGCCCCACATCGACCCTCGTCGCGGACAGCCACCGCGCTCCAAAGGCGCTCCGACCCCCGTCGCGGCGCGACGACGAGGCGAGGTTGACCCCCGTCGGGGGGTTACCCGCCCACGCTTATTAAGACACCCGGAGTATCCTCCTCCTGCGCCTCCGTCCGCTTTCTTCGCCCTCGTCCTTCTTGCCCTCTCCTCTTGGGGGCGGTGCTGGTCCCGTTGAAGGGGGGTTCCCCGGTGCTTTCACGGGTAGTTCACTTAATCTTAACAGTCGGTTTGCGCAGAGCTCGTGGCCAGTCCTGGCGAGTGTAGGGTCATTCGCTTGAGCTCCCCCCGCATTGCTCGTTTGAATATCGCTCGTTGCTCGTGGGCATGTTCCACAGGTCACAAACAAGAGCGCTCGAGCAAACACTACCAGCTCAGCCACCGATTGCGGCTTTACCGCGGTACCGTCATACCCACCATGATGCACGGCGCAGAAACCTGGACATGAACGAAATCTCCTAAACAACAGCTGCGCCGATTGCAACGACGAATGGTTTTCCTCGTCCTTGCTCGTCCCCTTCTCATTCTCGTTTCCCTCATCTCTCTCCCCGCGCATGGGCCAGCGGGCTTTCTCCAGCCCGCGACGCCCCGGGGGGGTGGGGCCTCCTTCGTCGCCGAGGCTGTTCCGCTTCGCCGAGCAGATGGGCGCGCGCCTGGGGGGGGGGGGAAGGGCGGGGCCGCCTGCAGACCGATGGCGGGGGAGAAGGGGCAGAAGATGGAGGAGGAGGAGGAGGAGGAGGAGGATAAGGCGGAGAAGGCTCAGGGATGATGATCACGACGACGACGACGTTGACGATGACGATGCTGCTGCTGCTGCTGCTGATGATGATGATGATGATGATGATGATGCTGGTGATGATGATGATGGTGATGGTGATGGTGATGGTGATGGTGATGATGATGATGATGATGATGCTGATGATGATGATGATGATGGTGTTGATGAGTATAATGATGATGATCCTGCTGATGATGATGCTGACGATGACGATGACGATGCTGCCGACGATGACGATGTCGATGACGACGACGATTATGACGATGATGCTGATTATGATCATGATGAATACCAATACTAGGGTGATGATGATGCTGATGATGATGCTGATGATGGTGGTGGTGATGATGATAATGATGATGATGATGATGATACTGATGATGATGCTGATGCTGATGCTGCTGCTGCTGACCATGCTGATGCTGCTGATGATGCTGACGCTGATGTTGATGCTTATAAAACTGATTGAGTTGTGGTTGTTGTTGATGATGATACTCTTGCTGTTGCTGTTGATGCTGATGACCACGATGACGATGCTTATGATGATGCAGCTTGTTTTGATGCTGATGCTGATGACGATGCTAATGATCATGACGACGACGCTGATGATGCTGCTGATGATGATTATTATGATGATGCCGACGATGACGATGACGATGACAATATTCATGATGACAGTACAGGCGATCATGTTGATGCTGCTGCTGATGATGATGACGACGACGATGGTTGTTTTGATAACCTCAGGCGGACTTGAGTTGTGGGTACCCCCCTGTTTCACTCGGTGGGAAATAGACTCGCCCTACCTCCTCCTCCTGCTCCTCCTCCTCCTGCTCCTCATCGTCCTCCTCCTTCTCCTTCTCCTCCTCCTCCTCCTCCTCCTCCTCCTCCTCCTCTTCCTCCTCCCCCCCTCATCCTCGTCGTCATCGTCGCGGCGGCGACTAGTTTCCCTTGGATGTTGGGGGGGCTGGATAAGGTTGGGGGTCTCTATCTCCCAGGGAATAATCTATTGTGGACCACCCTACGCGCGAGAGGATTTGTGAGCATCTTTTCATAGGGACGGCAATAGGAACCCGTGGCTAGTCGTGATGTGGGTTGCAATCGTCTCATATCGAAACGTTGCAGGTTAGTTTCCCACTAGTGTTCGCCGTGCTGGATAATGTCGGGGGGGGGGGGGTCTTTCTCCCAGCGAGAAGTGCTCTCTGGGCTACCCTGCAGGGCAGAGGGTTTTCGAGCAACTTCGTAAAAAGGACAGCAATACAGTGGAGGCGCTGAAGACGGTACTCTTTTCGTTTGGGAGGGGCTCTGTGTTATTTAGTTGTTTTACTGCTTGCCTTAGGTTTGTCATGTTCATGTTGTCATGTTCTGCCGATGCGCCTGTGTAAGTTGTCATGTTCTGCCGATGCGCCGTCTAGGCGCGGCCTTTTCCTGTCCTGTCCTTAGGTTTGCCTTCGGTTTTCGATCGGACATCGTTCCTTATTTCTCGCTCCTCAGGTCAACGCCCCGACTGTACAGCTCGGCACGTTCTTCGCCGCTGGCGGTGCGTACGGCCGCCTCCCCCGTGGAGAGCGCCAGAGGGTCATCTGGCTGCCCAAGACCTCGGAAGAGGGCGGGGATTATAGCTCGCGCGGCACCCGAAGTCGGGCGCCCCGCGCAGGTCATCACCGCTGGGAGGGGACGGGATCAGCGCTGGGAGGGGCGCCAGGAGCGGTGCTCTCCGCCCTGCGTCTGCCCCTCCTCGCCTCGTCAGCGCCCGCGCAGCGGGCGCCCCGGTTCCGTCCCTTGGTTGCGCGGGCTGGGCAGCGCCAGGGGATGTTTTTATCTCTCGGGGCGTACCGTCGGGGCCCCGAAGAAGGGGCCCTTTTCGTTGGGGAGGGGCTCCGCGTTCCTTAAGTGTTTTACAGCTTGCCTCAGGTTTTCCTTATGTTTTCGATCGGAAATCGAAGTCTATCTTATGGAAAAAAGGGGCCTCGTTCCTTAATTAGGGTTCCTTAGGTCAACGCCCCGACTGTACAGTCGGGGCCCTGAAGAAGGAGCCCTTTTTGTTGCCCAAAGTGTCCGAGGCCTGCGAATTAAAGTGCAAGCCTCCGACCCGCACGGGATTGGAGGTGCTGGATCGTCTGGCGGGGGGGCTCCCGCCGGAGTCGGGAGTGTCTTTCCCTCGTGAGTGATGTGGCTGGTGCGGCCGAGCTTGCACTCGGGACTCGCGCGTTCGCCATAGCGCCATAGTTCACAGTTTGCCTTGGGTTTTTTTCGTTTGTTTTCGACGGGAATTCGAAGTTCAGCTTGTGGATCGAAGGGGTCTCGTTCCTTATTTAGGGTTCCTTGGGTCAACGCTCTGACTGTAAGGTTCTCTGGGCTGCCTTGCACGACTGAGGAATTTGGAACACGGTCGTGCGAGGATTACAATGTACATTGACACACTGTTCGCCGAGGGAACGAGCTTCATCGTCCCTTCTGAGGATCGGGCGTCTGAGCATCGAGCTTTTGAGGTAGGATTTTCAGTGGGAGCGCTCCTGAGCAATTAGTAGTATTCGTCGTAGTCGTAGTCGCAATCGTAGTCGTAGCTGTCGTCGTCGTCGTCGTTGCGCGGCGGGAGCCGCGAAAATGAATAATTTGCAACCCTCTATTGGTAGGACCACAGTCCTTAACACGGCCGCTGGTAAATGATTAGTTGCCCCCTGTGGCGGGGGTGTTCTCTAAAGACCTGCAGAGGTTGATCGGATGATGGTGAGGACGACGACGACGATGATGATGATGCTGATGATGATGATGATGATGATGATGATGATGATGATGATGATGCTGGTTGTGGCGGTAGTGGTGATGGACGTGAGCGGGACGGGTGTCACAAGAGGTATGGCCATGACCAGGACGGTCAGGATACCACTCTGATGACGAGCAGCAGTCGGGGTATCATCACGACGATTTTGGTGCTGAGGATGCTGCTGATGCTGACGATGAAGCTGATGATGACGACACTTATGATGACGACGATTCTGACCATGATGATGCTGTTGCTGATGGTGATGATGTCAGCGATGACGATGATTATGATGATGATGATGATGATGATGATGATGATGATGCTGATGTTGATGCTGATGCTGATGATGGTGATGATGGCACTGTCACGACGACGATGATTATGATGCTGGTGTTGCTGCTGATGATGATGCTACTGATGATGATGCTGATGATGATGACGATGACGATGCTGATGCCGATGATGACGAGGATGGTGATGATGCTGATGCTGATGATGATGCTGATGACGATGATGCTTCGGATGATGAGCATGATGGTGATGATGAGGATGATGCTGCTGGCGATGATGATGGCCATGCTGATGATGATGCTGATGATGATGATGATGATGATGATGATGATGATGATGCTGGCGACTACGACGATAACCATGATGCTGTTGTTGTTGAACCCATTATTGAAGGATAAATCTTGTTGACCCCCTCCTCTGGAGCACCTGTTCGTTTTTTGAATTGAAGTGCTCTTCTCGGGGCTCGCACATGGTTGTTTATCAGTGAACGTCTTGGGTCTCAGACTTAAGCCCCAGGCCCCCGAGTTACAACAACAACGGCTCCCGCCTGGTACCTCCTTGCCATTTATTCCCGAATCGCGCTCTCGCGCGGGACTGCCTCACACTTTATGCAGAACTCACCTCTCGCGTGGGACTCCCTCGCAATCCATTCAGACTCCGCGCCCTCGACACTCAGGAATCACGCTCTCGCTGTTTATTTCCATACGATTTCTTTGGGAATTGCGTTGTCGCTCGAAGTTTCTTCGCGATTCATGCAGGGCGCACGCTTCGGCAACTGGCCTGCTCGACCTGGCCGCCTTGGCCCGCCTTCCCGATCCGCTTGTTAGGGTATACCCGCCCGATCTGCCCGTCTGGCTCTGCCACGTGTGTTCTGCTCCTAGCCCCCCTCCTGCTACTCTCTCTCCTGCTCCATCCTTCTTCCTTCTTTTCATCCGTCTTCTTTTCATCTGCCTTAGGGGCTGCACGAAGTACACGTTGAAGGTCAGAAAGATATACCTCCAATGAGGTACGATCGAAGCCGAAGAGGGTGGACCTCGAGGGTTTTGGAGATACGTGCTGAATGGCACGCAGGCAGATATGAGAGAACATGTTTAACATGATTGTTGGTACTGTTGTCGCTGGCGTGGTTGTTGAGGTTGTTTCGGTTGTTGTTGTGATTGTTGTTGTTGCGGCTGTGGCTGCTGTTGCTGTTGTTGGTGTTGTTGCTGGTTTTGCTGTTGTAGTTCTAGTTCTAGTTGTTGTTTATGGTGCTGGTGCTGTTGCGGTTGTTGTTGCTGCTGGTTTGGCTGTAGTAGTAGTAGTAGTAGTAGTAGTAGTAGTAGTAGTAGTAGTAGTAGTAGTAGTATTAAAGTAGTATTCGTATTATTATTATTGTTCGTAGTAGTAGCAGTAGTGGTAGTCGTAATCGTAGCAGCAGCAGCAGCAGCAGCAGCAGCAGCAGCAGCAGTAGTAGTAGTAGTAGTAGTAGTAGTAGTAGTAGTAGTAGTAGTAGTAGTAGTAGTAGTAGTAGTAGTAGTAGTAGTAGTAGTAGTAGTAGTAGTAGTAGTAGTAGTAGTAGTAGTAGTAGTAGTAGTCGTAGTAGTAGTAGTAGTAGTAGTAGTAGTAGTAGTAGTAGTAGTAGTAGTAGTAGTAGTAGTAGTCGTCGTCGTAATAGTAGTAGTAGTAGTAGTAGTAGTAGTAGTAGTAGTAGTAGTAGTAGTAGTAGTAGTGGTAGTAGTAGTAGTAGTAGTAGTAGTAGTAATCGTAGCAAGAGTAGCTAGTAGTAGGTAGTAGTAGTAGTAGTAGTAGTAGTAGTAGTAGTAGTAGTAGTAGTAGTAGTAGTAGTAGTAGTAGTAGTAGTAGTAGTAGTAGTAGTAGTAGCAGTAGCAGTAGTAGTAGTAGTAGTAGTAGTAGTAGTAGCAGTAGCAGTAGCAGTAGCAGTAGCAGTAGCAGTAGCAGTAGTAGTAGCAGTAGTAGTAGTAATAGTAGTAGTAGTAGTAGTAGTAGTAGTCGTAGTAGTAGTAGTAGTAGTAGTTGATGGTGTTGTTGTTGTTGTTGGTGGTGGTGGTGTTGTCGTCGTCGTTGTTGTTGATATTGCTGATGTTGCTGTTATTTTTTATTTTGTTGTTGTCGATGCTGTTGGTGTTGTCTTAGTGGTTGTTGTTGCTGCTGCTGCTGCGGCTGCTGCTGCTGCGGCTGCTGTTGTTGATGATGAAGTTGATGGCGATGAGGAGGCGGAGGAGGAGGGTCACCAGCCTGGAACATATCCCTATCCCTATGATTGACATCGCCTCATCTCGATGCCGATCTTAGGGATTCCCTCCGTTTCTAAGGGCACATCCCTAAGATTGTCGTCGACTCTTGGCTTGTTAATCTTAGGGGTAGGGATACATTCGAGGCTGGTTAGATGGGATGGAGGTAGACGGCCGCTATTGTCTGCCTGCTGCTGCTCCTCCTGCCCGCGATCCGATGGCAGGGGGTCGGGGATTCAGCGCCGACTTCTCGGGGGGAGGGATGGGGCCCCGCGGGGCCAGCAGCGCGAGCCGCCACGGCGCCGGAAGTCTGGGCCTGGCCCTGGCCCAGGACTCCGACGCCGTGGATGTTCCACAGCCTGGCCTCTCGGACTCGTGGACCCCTTCCTCGGGACTGGCTTTCCACCCCGAGCCGTTGTTGGACGCTCCCGAGGCGCGGTGATGGCCCCTGGGAGCCAGCAGAGGCGAGCAACCTTCCGCCCTGCTTTGGTTAGCGACGCGAGGGCGTCTGGGAGCGCGAGCCGCGCCCAGAGGCCTGGGCGATCTCGGAGCGGCAGCTCGGAGGCCTAGAGGTCGACACCGACACCAAGATCGGCGGTGTGCCTTCTCCGGGGACGGATGCTTCCGATCCTGGTAATGCTCGAGCTCTGTAAGTGGTGGAGCTATGACCACAAGCGCCAACATCGAGGATCATCTCACCCCTGGCGCGCCCGGGAGGGGGTCCAGCGCAGATCTGGGGAATCCGCGCGGAGCGCCAGCAGTTTATGCTTATGCTGTTTTTTATCCGTAAGGGCTTCGCCCCCTGCCGCCGGCCCCCTCTCTCGGATAATGGGCAATCCAAGAGCGAAATCATGAGGCCTTGAAGCCGCCGTGAAGCAGCGTCGGGACTTCACGCGAAGACGATGAGTAATCGGAAAGACAAATCGAGATTCTGATGATATTGTTGAATTCGGTGTTGTATTTCGAGCTTGCTCGCGTATGCTGTGCAACAAGCTTTTCTATATACGTAGCGTGACTTACCCATGTTTATGGCTTCAGAGACGCGAATCTGGCATAATTTTCGAGGGTTTATGGCTTCGGACACGCGATTCTTGTATAATTTACAAGTGTTTATTGCTTCGGGGTAGCATATTTTGTTTCATTTACGCAGGTTTATGGCTTCGGAGACGCGAGCATTGCGTGATTTATAAGCGTTTGTGGCTTCGGGGACGTAGGCATTGGATAATTTACGAGGGTTTATGGTTTCGGGGACACGAATATCAATTAATGTTCGATAGCTTATTGCATCGGAAACGCAGCTACGGTGTAATTTACGAGGGTTTACGCGAAGATAGCGTCATTTGCAAAGGTTTATGGGTTCGGGGACGCGAATATCGCGTGATTTGCAAGCGTTTTTGGTTTCGGGAACGTAAGCGTTGCATACATTACAGAAAGGTTTATGGCTTCGGGGACACGAGTATGGCGTTTTTTGCAAGGGTTTATGGCTTCGGGGTCGCGAATATCGTGTAATTCACAAGGGCTTATGGCCTCGGGGTCGCGAATGTTGTGTAATTTGCGACGGTTTATGGCCTCGGGGGCGCGAATTTAATATATATATATATATATATATATATATATATATATTTGCATGTCCCCCCCAGGAATTCAGAGCACGTGATTCGGGCGTGGCAATCCAGACGCTTTTCGGCTCCCCCCCCCTCGCGCGTTCAGTAATTTCTTAAACCGGAAAGTGGAACTATCACATTGGAGACTGGAAATTGGAGAACTGGTGCAGGGAACAGCAAACCCTCGTCCCACAGCCTTGTGGCCCCACAGGGGGGCCGGCGGATTTTTCTCCTTCTTCCCCTTCTTCCTCTTCTTCTTCTTCTTCTTTTTCTTCCTCTTCTTCTTCCTCTTCTTCTTCCTCTTCGCCTAGAGACGGATCGATCTGTGAGGGCCCCGGAGCCCGAAACCGGGCGAGGAGGCCCAGCGCGCAGAGATCGAGGCGCCGGGATCTCGGGCCCCTCCGTTCGGGTGCTGCCGGAGGTGCCCCTGGCCCGAGGTGCCCCCAGGCTCTCCAAGGAAGCCCCCAAGCGGCCTCCACGGCACCAGTCACGAGGCCCAGAGGGCCCCCAAAGTGGAGCGACAAGCCGGGGGCACCTCGGGCCAGGGGTACCTCGAGCAACCCCCGATCCAGGATTCGCGCCGCCGGCGGCCGCGCGGGACGATCTGGGCGCCCCCGGAACGCTCTCGGCGAGGCGCAGCTTCCGGAGAGCACCCCGAAGCTGGAAAGCCGCCGGGGTCCCACGAAGCCGCCTCAAGACCTCGAACTTCTCGAACCGCGAGGTCGAGGTCCCCTAACATTGCCCCTGAGGGGTCGTTGCCCTCGTGATGCGCTTTTGAAGGGGCCCAGGGGCAAACAAATAAAACTATACTTTCCCGAGCACCCGAAGGCCGTCGCGCTCACGCCGCTGTGCTGCCAGAAAGCCGACGGGTCGGGGACTTCGACTGTTCATTTGTGTATCCCTGGGCCCTTTCAAGAGCGCATCACGAGAGCAACGACCCCTCAAGGGCAACGTTAGGGGACCTCGACCTCGTGGTTCGAGAAGTTCGAGGTTTTGAGGCGGCTTCGTGGGACCTCGGCGGCTTTCCGGCTTCGGGGTGCTCTCCAGCTGCGCCTCGCCGAGAGCGTTCTGGGGGGCGCCCAGATCGTCTCAGCGGCCGCCGGAGGCGCGAATCATGGATCGGGGGTTGCTAGAGGTACCCCTGGCCCGAGGTGCCCCCGGCTTGTCGCTCCACTTTGGGGGCCCCTGGGGCCCCCTGGGCCTCGTGACTGGTGCCGTGGAGGCCGTCGGGGGCTTCCTTCCAGCAGCACCCGGGACCGAAAGCCAGCTGGGACGTGCATTGGCTCAGGCGGGCCGCTCCGATCCTCAATCGCCGACATGGGGCTCGCTCAGGTACGTGCGTTTTCGCTATCTGGGGGCTGCCGCCGATCTGTCTGCTGGCGATGTATCGCCGATTCCGGGTCGATGCTTCCCCCCCTGAGCGAGTCCCCCCATCGTCCCCGTCGACCCTTGCATCATTGCCCCACTCAGCCCATCCTAATCCGTGGCCCTTATCCATGGGCCGCGGACGTCCTCCTCCTCCTCCTCCGCCTCCGCCGCCGCCTCCTCCTCCTCCTCCTCCTCCCCTCTTCCTCCTCCTCCTCCTCCTCATCCTGCTGCTCGCGTGCAGAGCTTTGCCGCCTTACCGCGCATCCTCACCACTCGGCCGCACCGTGTCCCACCTCGTGGGGCGGCCCCAGATATGTACCAGTCGATGGGCGTCATCTCCCTGGGCCAGGGCCAGGGCCCGAAGGCCATCAAGCTGGTCGACGCGGCGCCCGCCCCGCTGCCGCGTACCAGTGGGGGAGAAGGGGAAGGAGAAGGAGGCGAAGGCGGAGGATGAGGCGGAGGCGGAGGCGGAGGCGGAGGCGGAGGAGGAGGCGGATGCGGAGGATGAGGACGAGGATGATGATGATGATGATGATGATGATGATGATGATGATGATGATGATGATGATGATGATGATGATGATGATGATGATGATGATGATGATGATGATGATGATGATGATGATGATGATGATGATGATGATGATGATGATGATGATTATGATGATGATGATGATGATGATGATGATGATGATTATGATGATGATGATGATAATGGTGGTGGTGGTGGTGATGATGATGATGATGATGATGATGAGGAGGAGGAGGAGGAGGAGGAGGAGGAAGAGGAGGAAGAAGGAGGCACGAGGAGGAGGAGGAGGATGAGGAGGAGAAGGTTGAGGAGGAGGATGCGGAGGAGGAGGAGGAGGAGGAGGAGGAGGAGGGAGGTGGAGGAGGAGGAGGAGGACGGAATCTACTTCCAACGTCTTCCTCCTTCATGGTTCTACCTAGTTCTTCCGACCGATGGGTATCCCACCAAACCTCGGGGCCATGGCGGGCAACAAAACCAGGGCCATCGGCGCATACCGAAGGAGACGCTTTCTTCTCTTGTCGAGCTGTCTCTGCTTGAGGCGCTCGGCCTTCGGAGGCTGGGGCAGGCGGGAAGCAGCAAGCTTGGCAACTCTGTCAGCAGCGTCGTTGCCAGAGGCGTGTCTCCACTGCTCAGGGAAACGCTCAAGCGACTCTCCTTCCATGTGGGCTTTGATCTTGGCAACCTCGAGCCCTGCATCTCGGCGGGCTTCTTCAATTTTGGTCATCGAGCCTGGGCCCTCAAACAATGTCCTCCTACTGGTTAGCTTGGTAGAGTTGTTGTAGGCTACTACTCCCTTGAAATCATAATGGATCCTAGTCGCTCCTCTAAATTGGCTGGTGGCGAGGTACGCTAGGAATTCGGCATCAGGCGAGGTTGGCGGGAGGGATCTGAGCCAGAGGTGCGCAGCTACCTCGCCATGAAGATCTCACTTCAGAGGAGGAGGGGGATGATGAGGTGGAGGAGGAGGAGGATGAGGAGGAGGGGGCATCTTGGGAGCCCCCCGGGGCACTCTTGGGCCTCCTGGGAGCTTCCTGGGGGCCTCCTTGGGCCTCTGGGGGGCCTTTGGGGCTTCTCGGGGGCCTCTTTGGCCGTCTTAGAGTATTCCTGGCCCGTCGGACGCCGTCGGACGCCGTCTTGGGGGCCTCTCTGGGTCGATTTGGGGCCCTCTTGGCCTCTTGGGGTGCGCCAGGGCCGTCTTGGAGGCCATCTTGGGCCGTCTTGGGGCCCTCTTGGGCCTCCAGGCCGTCTTGGGGGCCTCTTGGGCCGTTCTGGGGCCATCTTTGAAGCCTCTTGGGCGATCTGGGTTAACCTTTGGGGGCCGAAACTTAACACATGCCATCATCCTTCAACAATCACACGAACATCAAGGATTTTGGCCTCTTCAAGCCTTCTTGGAGGACCTCTTGGAGGCCTCTTGGGCCGTTTTGGAGGCCTCTCGGGGGCCTCATGGGCAGTCTTGGGTCATCTTTGAGCCATCTCGGGCCATCTTGATGGCCTCCTGGCCCGTCCGACGCCGTCGGGAGCCGTCTTGGGGGCCTCTCTTTCCCGACTTGTGGTCCTCTTGGGGTGCGCCAGGGCCATCGTGGAGGCCATCTTGGGCGTCTTGGAGGCTTCTTGGGCCGTCTTGGGCCTCTTGGGGCTGTCTTGGGGGCCTCTTGGGCCGTTCTGGGGCCATCTTGGAAGCCTCTTGGCCGATCTTTGGGGGCTCTTGGACCGTCTCCGGCCGTCGGAAGGCCGAACCGAAACAAATGCTAAACTCCTTCAAACACCACTTGGACAATCAATTTTTTTGGGCTTGTCTGGCCTTCCTGGAGGATCTCTTGGAGGCCTCTTGGGCCGTCCTGGAACCCTCATGGGGGCCTGTTGGGCCGTCTCGGGCCATCTTGGAGCCATCTTGGGCTGTCTTGGTGGCCTCCTGACCCGTCGGAAGCTGTCTTGGGGGCCTCTCTGAGCCGACTTGTATCCCTCTTGGGATGCGCCCGGGCCGTCTTGGAGGCCATCCTGAGCGTCTTGGAGGTCTCTTGGGCCGTCTTGGGGCCTTCTTGGGGCCGTCTTGGGGGCCTCTTGCACTGTGGGGCCATCTTGGAGACCTCTTGGCCAATCTTTGGGCGATCTTTGGGGGCATCTTGTGCCGTCTCCGGCCGTCGGAAGACCGAGCAGAAGCAAATGCCAAAATCCTTCAACAGCCAACGGAAGGCAATGATTTTGGGTTCTTCTGGCCTTCCTGGAGGACCTCTTGGAGGCCTCTTGGTGCGTCTTGGAGGCCTTTTGGGGGCCTCTTGGGCCGTCTGCCGTCGTCTTGAGGCCATCTTGGGCCGTCTTGGAGGCTTCGTGGGCAAACTTGGAGACATTTTGTGGGCTCTGGGACCGTCTTCGAGGCCATCTTGGACCTTCTTGGGCGAACTTGAAGGCCATCTTGGCCGTCTTGGAGGCCATCTTGGGCCATCTTCGAGCCATATGGAGCGGGAACAGCGGCTGGCGGCATCGGCCGAAGCCCCAGGGGGGAGTTCTTTTGGAACAAGAACCAGCGTCATGCCGAGTCTAGGGTTTAGCATGCCAGGCACCCCTGTGGCAAGACCACAGAGCGCGGCAGATCTAATATCTAATGGTCTTAGGCTCATCCCGCCACTGTGCCTGGGTTGTGGGTCAGAGTTGTTGGGGATGCTTCTTTGGGTCGCTTCGGAGCGCTCTCGGGGGCCTCTTGGGAGCTCTGGGGGTCCTCTGGGGGACCTCTCGGGACCTGTTGGGGGTCTCTTGGGTGCCTCTTGGGGCATCCTGGGGGCCGCTCGGGGTCGAGGACTCGAAATGTCTGTTTGGGTTCCCCACCTGGGCCCTCTCTTGGGGCCGTCTTTGGGCCTGTCTGGGCAGTCTTGGGCCCCTCTTGGGCTGTCTTGGGGCGCTCTTAGACACTCTTGGGGCCCTCTTGGAGGCCTCTTGGGCCGTCTTCGAGTGGTCTTGGGGGTCTGCTGGGCCGTCTTGGAGCGTCGGAAAACAGAACAGGCGAGAACGCCCAAATCCTTCCAAAACCCACGGGAAGTCTTGGAGGTGTCTTAGGCCATCTTGAGGCCATTTTGAGGCCGTCTTGGGCGCTTTGGGGCGATCTTGCGGCGTCTCGGGGCCCTCCTGGATCGTCTTTAGGGCCTCGTGGGGCCCCAACAAATCACGCGCCACCGCGCGGGGCAGCCCAGGCGGTACGCGACAATGACAGAGAGATTTGAGAATGTGGGGTCCGGGTCTGGTAAGGAGTCCTGAGGCGCCAGGATTGCGGCTTAGAGGCTTGGACAAGGACCTGAGGACACGCCCACTCCGTGCCCAGCGGCAGGGTGGCGGATAAGGACACTAATGGAGGAGGAGGAGGAGGAGGAGGAGGAGGAGGAGGAGGAGGAGGAGGAGGAGGAGGAGGAGGAGGAGGAGGAGGAGGAGGAGGAGGAGGCAAGTTAGGAGGAGCAGCAGCAGGAGGATGAGGTGGCAGAGGAAGTTTTGGAGGAGGATCAGCAGAGAGGCAGCACACGGCGAGCGCCCAGAGGGTGGGCGGGCCAGAGAGCCCCGCGCGAAGGCCTGCAAGCAGGGCACCTGGGTGCTGCTGCAGAACTGCCACCTGTACAAGGCGGGGGGTGGCGATGGGGGGGCCTGCCTGCACGGCCTCATGGAGGAGGACGAGGA